TGGAACTGATAAGGATAATGAGAGCTTTTGCTCTTGGAAAAGGGAAAATGAAAAGGCCTGTTCAGAATTGCAGGGCCAGGGAGGCTGGTGTTTCTCCTCATATTTCTAGGTGATAGACAAATTGTTAGTTACCACATGTATAATTTATTAGTAATTGCTTTAATTTGCCTCCTAAGCTTCTAAGTTGTCAGTTCACTGAGATCAAACCCATAAACTAGGAACCATGTGATAATGTCATGAAGTAACTGGCCAGTGAGGGTGCTTTCAGTGCAAATGCAGTTATTGCCATTGTAATTTAGAAAAGTACGAGAAGAATGTAACAGAGTCAAACTTCTTCAAAGCCTAGTGACTAATCGCTCCTGGGGTTTAAAGTGCCACACACACACCTTTTCCTCTTGTGGACATAGGGATACTAAGATAGCTGACTTTCCTTTCCGTTGGATTGCAGTCTACTTAAAAGAAATGGTTCCTTCCTCCTTGGTGCATAGTGAGGGCTGCTGAGGAATGGGGGACTGTGGGTGGTCGGGGAGAGAGAGGGCTGGAGAGCCTCCAAGTGAAGATGAGCAGAGCTGGAGTGTTGTAGACTGGGTTGGCATGCAACTTTTGTTTCTTCTTCTCAAAGCAAATGTTCTAGTTCTCTCAAAAAATAATTAGCTGACTGCAGGTATTCCTGTAAGTACCTAAATGCAAAATGTGTTCTTGTGGCCAGCCTGTCAGATTTCTCTCTATTCCTGAATCTCCTCGCTTTATCAACAGAAATGTTTTCTACTTACCTTCTCTACTGAGTAGCCAAACAAGCTGAGGTCTCATTCTGTCTCTGTGCCATCAGCAAAACTGCAACTCCCTTCTGCTTGCTGAGCTCTGTTCTTGCAGATTTGTAAGAGGCAGGAATACAGCTTAATATTTGGTTCTCAGGTTGAAGCTTGTGGTCCTGAAAATGGCATGAAGTGGGAACATGAAGTTTTCAGCTGACCTTTGAGAAAATTGGAAGTAGAGGTGACAGAATAAACGTGGATTGCTCAGGACGTTTTGGAAAGTCACTCTTTTGCCCAACTCAGCTGGTAAACATCCTGGGACTGATAAAATTCCTTTGCAGTTCATCAGAATTTAACTCTGGCTCGATCTGTCCAAGTCACAACCACATCTCTCTAGAGTGCCATTTGGCCACAGGTCAAATTCATTATCACAAACACAGTGGATGTTCCTGAACAGCATGCCTCACCACAGCTGATGTCCACATGTGTCACGCAGGATCAAATACCAAAAACTATCAGAAAAACGAAGGAATTTAGATAACCCTGCTCATTTTATTAAAATCAAGATACTTTCTCAATTGACCGAATGGCATTTGGAAAAATGACCATGCTCCTGGAACCTGATTTGAGACTGTCAGTGACTAAGAATTTTAGCTAAGTTTGAAAATGCTACTTGTGGCCTGGTGGCTTCCTTAGTATACAGTTAGCATGTTCCCGGCTAAGGGGGACCGGATGAGTCTCCAGCTTCATGCTCACTTGAGCGACGCTCAGTGAGCACCAGTGCAGGCTGGGCAGCCCATTTATCCTCGCGGTGGTCTTAGGTCCAGCATGTCAGCATAACCTGGTAGCATATGAAAAAGGCAAGCTTACTGCCCAACCCCTGCCTACTGTAGCAGCATTTCTGGGGACAGGACCAAAGAATCTGGGTTTTTACCAGCTCTCCTGGGGAGCTGATGTTCACTCAAGTTTGAGAACCACTGGCCTCGGTCTCTGGAACAAACTGTCCACTAGCAATTGATGGTTTGTGGCAGTGCCTGGATATCTTTTTTTTCCCCGCAAATGAAAGAAGTGTGGCCATTGTGCTGTCCTCTCTTGGTTGGAAGCAAGGTCCCAGCGGCTGATTTTTGCTTCCTTTTTTCCACATTTCCCGATATCTGGGTCACAACTACGGGGCACCATGCATTGAAATTGACTTAAGATGACCATTTTGTTTTTAAACTTGGAACTTACCGTAAGGCATTCCTCCTAAACATGATGGGATTGATTTAGTTTGTTGACACTAAGAGCTAACCACACACCTAACAGTAATACACACTTTTCCTGAATCAGCTTGTTGACATCTCAGCCATCTACAATAATACAGCGAAAAACCAGACAGTAGACAAAAAAGACCTGTCACCATTCAACATATATATTACCAAAACTGCACCAAATCTCTTTTACTTTTTTTAAAAGTCCTTGGATGTTGCCAAAATCTACTCACTTTTACTTTGCAAAACTAGTTGTGTCTCAAAATCACATGAGAAGCCTTTTAAAAATTCAGATGTTCAAGACCTAAAAGTAAGAGCTAAAACTATAAAACTCTTAGAAGAAAATATAGGTGTAAATCTTCATGATCTTGGAGTAGACAATGGTTTCTTAGATATGGCACCGGAAGCACAGGCAGCCAAAGAAAAAAACAGGCAATTAAAATTTTAAACGTTTGTGCTTCAAAATATGGAGTTAAAAAACAACCTAAAGAATAGTAGAAAATATTTCCAATCATATCTCTGAAAAGTTTAGCACCCAGAATATATAAATCTCTGTCTTACAACTCAACAGTAAAAAATAAATAACCCAAATTAAAAATGGACAAAAGATTTGAGATTTTTCTCAAAGCAGATATGGCTGGTAAGCACACACAAAAAGATAATCAGCATTCATTTGTCATTATCGAAATACAAATCAAAACCACACTGAGATGCCACTTTACACTAGGATAGGTAGAATAAAAAATATGGACAGTGACATGTTGCGGATTTGGAGAAACTGGAACTCTTTTGTGTTTATGGGAATGTAAAATGCTGCAGCCACTTTGAAAAACAGTCTGACAGTTCCTCAAAAAATTAAACATAGAGCTTATGACCCAGCAATTCCACTCCTAGGTATATGCACACAATAGAATTAAGGACATGAAAACGTGTACATGAACATTCATAGCAGCCTGTTCACAATAGCCAAACAGTAGAAACCCAAATGCCCA